GTGGTAACTAGTAAAAGCAAAAAAAGTAATAGTTTTAAAATTTAAAAAAGATTAAAGATAAGTTTTTATTGGTTTTGTTGGTTTTTTGAGAATTTTTGTTAAGGAGTCTCAAAAATGTTGTCTCAAAAACGCTTTCTTTTTTTCCTTTTTTTTTTTTTTTTTTTATTTAATAATTAGTTATTTATATTTTTGACGAAATTATTTTACATCTTTTTTTGAACTATTGTAAGATTAAAATCTTTGTTTACATTGAAAATTTTTATTTTGTCTTATTTAACAGAAAGTGACCTTTCTATGTATTTAATACATTTAATGAACTTATAAAAATTGTGCTGAAAAAATCGTTTTTTCTTTATTTTTGTTTGCGGGTTAATTAAGTTGCTTGGCGAAAGCCTCATTGAAAGTTTAAAAAGTAAAAATTGTTTTTACCACAAACCCCGATTACTGATAGGATAAACCAAGTCCTATTTATAATGATATTGATCCGTAGAGATTTTTTTCAAGTAATCTTAACATAATATTCCTCAACGCTTTTGCGTTTTTGCTGCAACATTTGCGTTTTCTCTACAACATTTGTGCTTTTTCTACTGTGGGCGTTTTCTTTACACTTTCATAATATTGGTTTCGTTTTCTCTACACTTTTCATAATATTGTTTATATTACTAGACTCTATTTGCTAATCTAGTAGTAATTCAAAAAGCTCAAAAGCGGTTTTAGATATTTGGTGATATAGGAAGAGAAATACGTTAATTTTATTTAGTTTTCCAAAGTAAATCTTAAAAAAATTAGTAAATTACCACCTTTTGTTGAATAAGAATTTATGCCTTTCTCGTATACCCTGTAATTTGGATGATGAAATAAATAACTGAAAGTAATCAATAAAAAAAACATGAAAAAATCACTTTAAAGTGGTAGTACAGGAATTAGAAAATAAATTTGTATTAAACAAATCGTCGGTGAGAAGTCATTACCACGTATCTCAAAAAATTGAGGTTTTCAACTAATGCTATGTTTGTGCATAGTTATTAAAAATAATAAAGAGTTAAGTTAAAAAAAAATTCATTGCGCATGCGCCGAATTTATGAAATAAAGGACAAAAAAGAATTGGATCTGTTTCTCAAAATATGCCACATCTCATAAAGCTTTCGACCTGAAATTTTTCAGGGTATATTATTAAAAGGACAAATAACAATTTGAACCTAAAACCAAAGTTGGATATTAATTAGTTATAATGCATCTATGACAAAATACTTATTTTTTTGCCCCAAAATTTATCTAAAAAGAAAGGTTTTAGTAGATGTAAATGTTTGATCGAGGTTCAAATTGTAATCATACACATTTTAAAACTTTTGGGATAATTTCAAAGCATTTTTCTAAAAAACTTTGGGAAACGGTGTTTGGGAATGGCAGTTTGGGAAACGGTGAGTAAATTTTTCAAAAAGTCCAAATAAAGATAAAAACAAAAACATATAATAATTAAAAAAAAAACAATTCTATTCTATAATTGGTTATATTACTCATCAGGCTAAAAATACTCGTTTTACTAAAATCGTTCAAATTACAAAAAGTACTTTAAGAAAATTGCTCCTTAGCGATCGTTGCTATACAAGTTTTCTCAAAATAAACAACCATAGTTACACAAAATATTTCAAAATTTCACGTTTTAGATATGCATTTTTTTGGATTACTTGTAAAACTTCTGATAAAATTTCACTAAAATTAAAAAATCGAAAAAATTTAACTTTTTTACTTATGGTAGAGAAGTACCTTAAGTTTAATACAACTTGACAATTAGTTTTTAATTAAACTAAATTTTATTAAACATTTAGATAATGTCTTGATTTCCATCAAGTTGTTTGTGAGTTTTGTGTCATGCGACTAAAAATGCATTTCTAATGGTATTTGATTTACATGGTTTTAACAGATGATGGATATAGTTTAAAGATTTCAGTTTAAAAGTATTAAAACTCTTTTTTTTTAGATACGTGGTTATGACTTTTCACCAACAATATGTTGCTTTTTTTTCTCTGTTTGTATATTATACCGTTAGAAAGGTATAAATAAATAAAGAAAAAAATTATTTATTAACCAAGGTCTTAAAATGAAGTAAAAGGCGACAAAAACTTTCAAGAAACTATTTGTTGTTGAGGTTTTTAAAATTTTGGATTAAAATATATTTCATGTGTTATTGCATCGTGTACTAAAAGATTTGATAAAATATTTGAATCTTTTTAAATTTAGGCAATATATTAGGTAACTAAGGACGCAAAAACACTAAAAGTTTCCGGACGAAAGAAGCAGTAAAGATTATATTCTAATGTATGTTGTGAATAATACAATAAATAGGTGTGACAAATTTCAAATCAACTCGATAATTAGTTTTTAAATTAGTTTTTCCCTGTCGCCAGCCCAAAAAATAAAATTATTAGATGTAGGACAAAATTCTTCACTTTTTTACAATCTTTTATTTTAGTCACAACAACCGCTTTGTATTTATATAAACTCTTTTTGTTTCGATTTTGCTTTATGGTTAAGGTTACTTTGCTTTTCTGCTTTAAAATTTCTTAGCTTAGATAATCGTTTGGTGTCCTTACGCAGACAACAATTTTGCTCATGATTACTAAGTTCCATTAAAATGTAATATTGTGTTTTAAGATATTCAATATACAGCACTAGTCAGAAATTATCAAGTTCTAAATTACTAAGTTTGTTTCAATGTTAAAAACTACTGAACATAGACATTAACTTTGCATATTATAAATTACATTAGTTATTATAAATTTTACATTTTCAGACTAATTAAAATTATTAAATTTAATTTATTACAACTTAAATTAAAAGACTGTACACATTAAAAAAAATCATCCCCTGAAATAATATTATACCCTGAAATATGTAACACATTTTAATCTAAAACTTTTCAACTTTAAACATAAAATAAAACATATATGTAAACTATAGATCATGTATAACTTCAGTTGCGCAAACAAAAAATAAAAAAACTGACATGACAAAATTTTAAAAGATTATCATATATTTATTTTTGTATCAAAATATCAGTATCGTAACAAAATATCAAATAGTCGACAAACTGAATTAAAATAAATACTTAAAAAGAAAATATAAAATAGACGAACTGCAATTCTTATAATCTAATTTAAACTTCACAAACAACTAAATTTTAGTGATGGCTCAAAACTTTAATTTAACCTTTGTAAAAAAATTTTTATATAAAAAAATAAAATAGGTAACATCATCGCAGAAATGTCAATAAGATAATAATCATCTAGATGGAATAAGCAAAGTTTGAGATGATAGCATTTAATGCATATTAAATTATATTATTTTAGGGCTTCTCTTTTTTTTAATAAATTTAAATGTATTACTATGCAATTTAGAATAAGTCTCAAAATAGCTTACTTAGAGCTAAAAAGTGTATAAAAATAGTTGGACCTAAAATTTGAATAATAAATATTTAAACCATCTATACCATTTTTTTTAATTTTAAAAAGGTAAAAATAAGCTTAATAAAATAAAATGTTTAATCAAAGCCATAAATAATACTAATTACAAACAAAATGTAAACGATTAAAAATTAGAAAGATTGAATTTTTCAACTTTTCATCTTGTAAAAATGTATTTCATCTTGTAAAATACGTATTTTGTTACTTTTTTTATCATATGATCCTCTTGATCATGGATGTTGCATTACTATGATTTCTCTATATTTATTAGAAATAATTTTCAAATAACGTAGTTTTATAGATGTATTGTTTAGCAATTATTGTTGCATGCAATCACCGGCGTCAGACAAAAAACTCAAGTTAGTGTCGAAAAATTTAAAATTGTTATACTAACTAAATACAAGACTGTTTTGGAAAGACGATCTTAACAGTATTTTAATGGTGACAAAAAATCAAAATCGAACTATCCGTTTAAAAGTTAAGCTTTTGTGTTATCTTTAGATCTTTTAGAGTTAAAAGTTATGTTGTCCATAGATCTTTTGATGTCCTTCGTCGCTTTTGGACCTATTGTTTTAAGGTTGTCGCTTAATGATATAGGTATTTTAGTTTTAGTGGTGTCTTCTATTACTCTCCATAACTCCAAGGTTATTGTGTGTGTTATCGTGGTTATTACTTTTGCTGTTTCATCGTTTTTGTTAAGATTTTCAATATTTAGCGAGAATACTGTGTGGGCAATATTAAAAGGTTGATCTGGTATTAGTCTTTCATATAATTTCTTATAAGCAAGCCAGACACTTCTTGCTTTTCTGCAATGTATAAATGGGTGTAAAGTGTCTTCTGTTTTGTTGCATGATTTGCAGAATATTTGACCACGTCCACAATTCTTTATCCATTTTCCTGTTGTAGGAAGGCTGTCTTGCAGCAGTTGCCAGATTGTGTTTTGGTTAGGGCTTTGAGCATAAGAATTAAAACTTTTTTTCCATATATCATTCCAAGGTAAAGTTCTTTGTAGTTTTGTTTCCAATTAATTTGTCATCTATTAATCCATGTATTATTATTATTGTTTTTCAAATAGAGGTATATATTTTTAGTTGTTTTATGTTTTAGTAGTAGTAGATTTTCATTTTTTTTAAAACGTTAATAATGTCATTAAGATAGAAGGGCAGATTATTAATAGTTTTTGGAAATCTATTTTTCATCAGAAATTTCCAGGGAGCATATTTCTCGGTGGCAATTTTTGTTAAGTGGATTGCTATTAAATATTGTAGCAGAAAAGTGGCTTCATGAGGTTTTTCTACTTCTTTAAGATTAAAGAGGTGTTTTGTTCTTAAAGAAATACATTGATTTGTTGGTTTCAGAATTCCAAGCCCACCTTTGTCAGTCGGGGGATTTAAAATTTCTCGTTTGACAGGTTCGGCATAATCGCTTTGCCAAAGGTAGGCCGATATTCTTTTTTTGATTTTTTTTTTCAGTTATCTTATTTATTGGAAAAACGTTTGCTAAGTACCACACTTTCGCCAAAGCTAGAGTGTTTATTCAGGTTGTTTTACATTTAAGTGAGATATTTCTATATTTTAGTGTTTTTAGTTTATTTTCCAATTTACACAGGGCAATTTGCCAGTTAAAGCTGGCTGTGTATCCTAAATCTGTAAAGAAGGTAACACCTAAGATTTTTAGACCTGTGCTATTTGTCCACGATATTTTGTGGTTTTGGTAGTATTCTTGTTGGACGTATTTTTTATATGCTAAATAGTTAAAGCCACCTAAAGCTAAAGCTTTAGTTTTTTCTTTATTTATATTTGATCCTGTAGCTTTTTCAAAGTTGGTGAGTATTTCAAAAAGTACGTCAATTGAGGAAGGGTTTCTTACAAAGATCGTTGTATCATCTGCGTACTGCATAACCTTAAGAGGCTTCATAGAGCCAGGTAATGGTACGCCATCAATACCTGAATTTTTGTTTATTTCTAAGGCCAGCGTTTCGACAGCGATGCAATAGAGCATAAGTGAAAAAGGGTCACCTTGTCTTACTCCTCTGCTGACTTTAAAAGGGGCACTCATGAAACCATTATTGAGGATGATGGATTGTGTGTTTTCCATAGTTGTTTTTGTTGCTTGGATAAAACCTTTTCCTAAATTGTACTTTTGTAGCACTTTAAGTAAGTAGTCTCTATCTATCTTATCAAAGGCTTTTTCTTGGACGATTGATATTAGAATCGCAGCTAGATTTTAAGAGTTGGTATAGTGTATTAGGTTTCTGGCAAGAAAAATATTGGAGAATATATTTCTGCCAGGTACAGAGCATGTTTGGGTTGGTGTCAAGATTTTATCTAGGACTTTGGCAAGTCTCAATGCCATGGCTTTAGATATTATTTTGAGGTCGGAACACAGAAGGGAGATTGGTCTCCAGTTTTGTAAAAGGGTCTTATCTCCATCTTTAGGTATTAGGCTGATTAGTGCGGTTGATAGTTGACCGTCCATGATAGTTGACCGTTCTCATTAAAGAGATTATTATTTGCGAGGTTGGTTAGCTCATTGGCATATATATGCCAGTATTTTTGGTAAAATTCAACAGGTATGCCGTCTATGCCTGGAGTTTTTCCTTTTCGTAGGGATATAGCTGCTTCGTATAGTTCTTCACTACATAGTTTTTTATTTAAGTTTTTGATTTTCTTTATTATTTAATTTTTTTTTTATGTTGCTTAGTAGATCTTGTTGTTTTACTATATTTAGATCGGTTCTGGTGTAGAGCTTCTGATAGTATTTTCGGATTGTTCCTATAATGTTGTCTGTTTCATGGTGAGTTATGTTACCATCTCTTATAGTTTCAATAGTTTTTTTCTTGCTTCTTGATTTTTCTAGATTAAACAGGAATTTTGATGGATTTTCTCCTGTTTCTACTAGAGTTTGTTTTGTCCTGATGAAAATTCCAAAATCATTTTTTTGTAATTTTAGTTCCTTTTTTAAGTTTTTGATTGTTTCCTTATTGTGAAGAATATTTTTTCAATTGATATTTTCTTTTCCAGCTCTTTTATATATAATATTCTTTGGTGTTTGATATCTGTTGATCGTTCAATGGCACAGTTTTTAATTTCGAGTTTAGTTAGGTCCCACCATTGGTTGGGGTTTTCAAATTGAGCTTTTGTGTGTTTGCTATATTCAAATCTGTCAATTAAGTTTTTTTCAAAAGTTTCATTACTTATTAAGGATACATTTAATGCCAGTAGCCTGGCCCTCTTTTGTTTGAATGAAGGTTTTTCGTCTTATATTTGCAATAAAGGGCTTTAAGATCACTTAGTTTATGATCTATAATTTTGCATGTACTAAAGTTTGCTTGACTGTTTGGTGCATATATTCGGTCTATTCTACGGTACGATCCATCAGGTTTTTCATAGGTGAAGCTTTTTTTTTGTGGATTTAATTTTCGGTATATGTCTGTTATATCTAGAGTGTCGCATAATCTTTTTAGTTGTTATTTTCCTAGTATGTTATTTTTATTTAGTTGGTCGCCTCCTTCTCTATCAAGTATTGGGTCTTCCACCATATTAAAATCCCCTAGTATTATTAGGTCTTCGCATGGCCTTATATGTTTCTCAAGTTTTTCAAAGAGGTATTCTTTTTCCATTGGATTGTTAGGGCCGTAGACATTCTTGGGGTAAAGTTTTCTATAGTAAAACTAGCTGCTAGTAATCTTCCACTTTTATTAAAAATTATTTGATCTATTTGAATTCTGTCTTTGGTAAGGATTGCAACTCATCTCTCTTTGTTATTTCCATTGTTCCGAATGGAGAAGCCTTGTGTTTTTTTACTCCATTCTTCTTTCCATTGTGCTTCTTTTTCATTACTGCAGTGTGTTTCCTGTATGCAAGCAATGTCGCAACAGGTATTTTTTAGGTACATCATTATGTTGTGCCTTTTAATGTCATCATTTAGGCCGTTGGCGTTTAGGTTTAACATTTTAATTGCCATTTTTACAAAAACAAAAATTTTCTTTTAGTATTTGTTTTATTGTGATTTTGATTTTTGTTTGCTTTAGATTGGAATTTTTAATTTTATTTAGTTTTATGATTTTTTATTTTTATATAGTTTTATAATTTTTTATTTTTGTTTAGTTTTAGTTTTATATTTCGATATGGTTAAGTATATTATTGTTATTTACTTGATACTGGGTATCGAGATTATTTTCATTATTTTGGTTCGTTTCGGGACATTTCCCATCATATATAATCCCGAAGTCTTTATTGTATCTTTTATAGGTTTGGATTTTTATTTCTTGCGGTGTTGTTTTTCTTTTAAGTCCCTTTTCTTGGGTGTCTACGCAAGATTCTCCTTCCTCCATATCTTGATTTTGGATTGTTTCTGGAAAAGATGCTTCTACTTCATCCATATCTTCATATTCATTACTTTTAAGATTAACATTTTCTTCAAAGGCATCCTCGTTCTGAGCAAATTTCTTATGGTTAGGTTTTTCAGTTTTGGAATTTAAATTTTTATTTTCAAGATAAATATTTTCTATAGCCTCCGTTATGTTAATATTTATTTCCTTTTCTTTTTCCATTGTTTTAATACTCTCGATGGTTTTGTTTAGGGATATTTTAGGTATTATTTTCTCTGCTCCTGTTAGGTCGGGCTCTCCTATATTATTGTTACATGTGTTGTTTTCGGTTTTGTTCTTCATGGCTAGGCTATATTCTTGTCCTGTATATATGATTCTCACCTTGTGTCCTTCAATCTCAATAGTTTTGGGTAAGGGTGTTTCGATTTTATCCATAACCGCAGTTAGGATACTCAAGTAATAAAGAGTTTTGTTTCTTGGGGTTTCATTCATTACAGATTTGGAGTAGATGTGTTTCCCATAACCCATCTTTTCCAGGGTTTCTCCAACAACGAATCCTTTATATTCGAGCGGCAAACCCAGCACAGATACAGTGATCCGCTGGCTCGCGTGTCTAGCTGGGGTTGAGTTATTAAAGCGATGGTGAAAGCCTTTAATATCCAGACCCATTTCTAATAATTTATTTTTTGTTTTATCATTTTTTAAAGTTATTTCAATAATAGAGTCATTTCTAATTAATTGAACTCCTTCTATCTCTTTGTCTAAACCACTTTCTTCTAAAGCAATAATTACAATTTCAAAGTTTATTTGATGTTGTAGTTCGCTAAGTAAGGTTTTATTCAGTTGTTTATGGTGTTGCTTTGATATTGTTGGTTTTGTAACCTGAGCATAAGACCTTTGGTGGTTCCCATCCAAATTTAATTGAGGGGATTTCAACATTTTAGTTATACGTTAAACTATACTAAAGACTATAGCAAGTCTCTTAATACACACTAATCCACTCTATACGCCCCTAACACCCTCTATATAACCCTCAATACACCCTAATCTCTCAATACTCACAAATCACTCTATTAGGTCGCTGGATCGTCAAAATGCTAGTAAATCACAAGGTTACACGTATAGGTCTTAGCCATTAGGCCGAGAAGCAGAACTTTAATTGTAATAGACTTAATAGTTGATCTGTTGCCCGAAATTGTTTTATTCACTCTAACACATTTCACGTGTACTATATTTGTAATGTTGAAAGTCGGGCTTGGTGATAAAACAAAAAATAAAAATATAGTTAATGAAAAATAGCACTTACTAAGTCTTTATCTTTATATCCTGCATTGTTTTAACATTCGGTATTTAAGATGTATATTATCAATAAACCCAGAAACTTATCTTAGGCAGTCATATTTTGCACCGCTTTTAAATCTTTTTAGTCATATTGCATTTGATTATAAATAATTTTAAAATTCATTGCAAATATGTTATAAATTGATATATCACTAAAGAATTCCATTTTCAAATTCGACTGATAAGTTTCTATTGACCATTGGATGTTTAAAAAGAAAATCTTTCCATATTAGCATCGCGTGCGACCTATTGCAATAAATTTAACAATTAGTGTATGTCGAACATTTTTGTTAACAATATGCATTGCAGAAAAAATTTAGTTTTACATGTTTTTTCATTCGCAAAGTAAACAATTTTGATCTTTGTTTTATAATGACCAAATAATGCAATTTATAATGACCAAAGGATTGCTTTCTATTGTTTTTTTATTATGCTCTGCATATTTTTTACTCTGCAAAGATTAATGATCAAAACAAAATCAACTAAAGATTATAATAGCAAGCCTCTCTGGAATCATCATAAATAATTGGTACAATTGTGATAGCAAATATTTCACTTTTTTTATACAAGCTATATTCGAATACTTTCTTTTCTATGAATTCCATCAATCTTTATAGCTTAAATGATTTTCTAACAAAATTTTGAACACATCTTATATGCTTTGCATCAACGTGAACGATAACAAACTTAAGTAGTAAAGTATAACTTAAGTATAAAAAAATTGTCACAGTTATATACATAGCCGCAAGTCACAACTTCCCTACACTGTAAGTTTATGATGCACTGTAAGTCAAGTTTTGGAATTTGAATAAAGATCTAATATATTTTTTAATCATCCATTACAAAATATAACAAAAACAATTTAAAAGTGTACTCTTTAATTAAAATCATTTCTTAAAAATATATCGCTTTGAAAATAACTATATAAAAACATATTGCATAATTCAAAAATAAGGTAGTCCCTAAGATGCAGAGATTTTTTAAAATTGAATATCACACCTGCGGATAAACTTTTTCTTAAGTAGAATTGAATTCTGAGTCGAATGGCGAGCGGAATGTCGCCCGACGAATACCTGCTGAGTTATTAAACAAAAACTCGATCAAAATGCATAAAAACCGTTTTTACAACAGCAGCAATGCATTTTCACACCCGCGGAGTGAGCTTAATCGATTCGAAATTAAATTTTCTATTAGATAAGGTTTATTTTACGACTACTGCATTAAATCCAGTTAAGATATCAGTTATAATCTAAAGGGCGTAGAGTAATGTTGGGTTTTCCCCGCATTTTTATCGATATGAAACAATGTAACGTTCTATATCTTCGTAGATAGACTTTTTCTTAAATAAAATTGAATTCTGAGTCGAATGGCGACACGCGGAATG